ATTTGCCATTGCTTGTAATTTTTCGAGTTAATGCAGATTATTAATGGGATATGTGAAGTTTGAATTCAACAATGTGCCTTGATATTGTGATCGTTATTGTATACGTATGTGCCTCTTGGATAATTTTGTAAATATATTTATAGATAATTTGTATTTCGTTTTATTTGTCCTTTTTACATTTAGTTTTTAGTCCACTTGCATTCTACAATACGCTTCTGTGGTGGGCTTCTGTAATGCATTTCAATTCAACTGAACTCACCACATACCCACTCAATTACTAATAATTGTTCAATTATTATTCTAGATTGTATTGCTTGTTTACTAATCATAAAAGCATTTGTTGGCAGGTTTAAAAAGTAGGAAATTAAGTTGTAATAAGATTTGTATACCTGTCTTAAATCTAGCAGATAAGTAATTATTGTATTATATACGGCCCTGTGTACGCACAAAGCATTCATGCTTTTTAGTACACAGTCATAATTTTGTAAATCATTATTTTTAAATTAAATAAAAAATAAAAATTTTAAATACATCCCATGTCGGTGTTTCGACCCCTTAGGGTCTTTGGAATATTCACATTCTTCTCAGTATCTGTACTTTTACCTTTCTAGATTACCTTTTCAGCCCTAAAAATGACAATTATAATAAAATAGCCATAATTACTGTCAATTCAGTACTTTGAGGTAAACTGTAAAGTCGTCTGCGTGGTAACACAGTCTCACTAATCCCAATCTTCAAGCAGCTTGCTTCGTAAGCTGTTTCGGTTGTAGGGTCAGATTAGCCTGTGAAATTACTAGGATATATACTCTCTCCTATAGAATGGCAACGGATGATTAATATCACGAGTACGAATTATATAGTAATGTCCGTATGTTCATGTATATAGGCGATGGTTAACACTTATCATTAGGGGCGCGGTGAGCTTATATACCATCCAAATAACATGAAATAACTGTCGACGTTGTGAACGTAACGTCTGAATGTCCGAACCTCTCGTTATCTCAGATTAATTTTAATTTGTTATCGGTATTTTCTATCACTGTAGTTATTTATAAATTTAAGGTGTGCTACGAACTTAGGACTATATATGTATATATAATATCACAGAAAACAAGAACGATGGGATTTAGTAAGAAAATAAAAAGAAAAAAACATTAAAACTTTCATTTTAATTTCAAAAATATACACCATCATATAACAATATAATCTTTATAACATACATATGTTATTATGTACAGTCTAAAAACTAAGGAACATACAGAGTGCTTGACTAAGGACCGTTTCACCACTCTCCTGTTGCCCTATCTCTAATAACTTTTTACTATGAAACTGCAGTTTATAAAATATATACAAGATGTAATAAAAATTACTAGCTCTCTCTTTTGACTCAATTGTATTAATTTATACTATTTGCAATGGTAGTAGAGGACGCCCAAAAAATATGGATGAATTCTGTAAACGATGTGAATAAAAGGAGAGTATGCTCAGATATGACGGCCGATAGGGATCAGTGGAAGAGGATGAGATGCTGCGCCGACCACAAATAATGGGATAAAGGCAAGGCAATGATGATTCGGAATGGTAGTTCAAACGGGACTTGACTGCAGTTTAGAATTCCTGTTCCAAAACCTGTGCATTTCCTCGAATAATGATTGTAATCAATTGAGAAGATTGTATGTATACAATGATGGCCTCAGATTTCTTCGACACTAGAGAGGACCACAATCAAACGTGCATATTTTTTATTTAAATATTCGATGGATTGTTTGAACGATATAATATAATATATGTGATGACTCAATATATTATTTATTTAAATATGATATACATATATATGATAGCTACCTGAGAGATGTGAAACATTGCTTATATTTTTTACATAATATTAAGACATTTTAATATTTAATATTTCCTCCTTCTTTTAACTTTGAGCACATATACATGTTAATAGCCCTTATGTTTGCTTTTGAACACTAGATGCGTTTACAATAAATAATGGTGAAGCTATATTCTAACTATATATATTTATAATTAAGTCTCACGTCTTAGGCCTGGACAGTGGACGAAGCAAAGTACTGCAAATACATTGATACATAAATGTATAACAATTTAATTATAAACTCTCATAAAACAATCATACTAATATTATATCGCTAAAGTTTGTATGTATGAATGTTTGTTACTCTTTCACACAAAAACTACTGAACGGATTTTTATGAAACTTTACAGTAATGTAGCTTATAGGTACATCAGAATAACACATAGGTTATAAATTTAAAAGATATTTTGTAAATTAGTTGAATTATGATGATAAAGGTCAAGTAAGTGTGGTACAGACGAAGTTGCGCGGGACAACTAGTATTATATATTACTAGCTGTGACCGTGATTTCACCCACATGAAATTTATAGCCCGTGTTATTCTGATGTATAAGCTATATTACTGCAAAGTTTCACTAAAATGCATTCAGTAGTTGTTAACGTGAAAGAGTAACATCCATCCATCGGGGGGAAGGGGATTGTTAGTAATGTGGATTGATAACCCCATTGCTAGCAATGTACCATGTCAGGTCGACCTCCACGCGGTTCCCCCTGGAAACCATCGTGATAAATTCTTGGTGAATTTGTCATGATGGGCTAACTAACCTGACCTCATGCTCATCTTATCATCCTCCACTGGTGCCCCGCCAGCGTAAACCGTTAGCGCAGGCGGGTGCACCATTCCATTATCAACCCTCAAAAAAAAAAAAAACATCCATCCATCCATACTCACAAAATGTCGCGTTTTTAATATTAGTAAGATTGTTACTGTAATACAAGCTAGAGACATGTCTTATAGAAAATGGTAACCTATCTATAAACAAGAGTATATAATAAAATTTATTGTAACTCCGCGTCACTTATTGTCCCTATTCCTAAGGACTACTATGGTTTTATATCCTGTAATTTTACGGTCTTGCTCTTTAAACTATAACGCAGCTTGCAGCGAAAAAATAAAAACAATTTCGGACAATTCACACAGCGCCATCTAGTCGCAAACTAAGCAAAGATTGTGGTACTAGACGACTGGTAGAGATACTTAATATACGTTTACATAATATACATAGAAAAAGCTCGAACAATAGAAGACAGATACAAAAAAACATATTCATGAATACAAATGTCTCCACCATCCGAGGATTCGAACCCGCGACCATTTGATGTAAAGCGGTGAAATAATTAAATTATCTAATTTAATACAAAGTAAAATGACTTTATAGAAAGTTTATGATAGAGTAAATAGTCTATTTTTATATGATAACTGTAATGGTGTCTGTCAGTTTGTTATCTTTTAACAATCTCGCCTATCTTAAATGAAATGTCTGAAGATATTTAGATTGTATCGCGAGGATGGACGGACTAAAAAGCAGATAAAACCGTCGGTAATAGCTAGTTATCCATAACACAGCATACAAATAAGAAATAACGCTTGCAGTGAAATAATTAATAATAGCTCTACAAGGTTCGATTCATTTATCGCATTATACTCATTGAGATCTACTACTATTCATATCTGAACTTAATACAGTGTATTTTGAGTAGATTGCTAGGGGTCGTTCAAGTATTACGTAAGCAGATTTATTACAATTACTAGTTGTTCCCGCGACTTCGTCCGCGTAATATGACGATACTTAATATAACCTTTCACCCCCTTACAACCCTTTTTTGCATTGTAAAGTAGTCTATGTCCTTTGCCAAAGTCTAGACTTTGTGTACCAAATTTCTTTTAAATCGGTTCAGTGGTTTCTGCGTGAAAGCGAGACAGACAGACAGACAGAGTTACTTTCGCATTTATAATATTAGTAGGTATTTACATTTACATCCCCCTTGTCAGTAACAGTAAGCAAAGCTCTCAACCCCTCCCTCCGTGATTACGTAACCATTTTTCGATTATATTATTGTTTTTTTAGCAAAGACAATGTGAGGGTTGCCATTCGTGTAAAAAAGGAAATGACTACCGATGACGTAATCATCATCTAGACCCCTATACCCCATGTCAGAGGGGAAGGGGATTGTTAGTAATGGGAACTGGTAACTCCCATTGCTAGTAATGTACCATGTTAGGTCGACCTCCACGCGGTTCCCCCTGGAAACCATCGTGGTAAATTCCTGGTGAATTTGTCACGATGGGTTAACTGACCTGACCTCATGCTCGTTTTATCATCCTCCACTGGTGCCCCGCCAGCATAAACCGTTAGCGCAGGCGGGTGCTCTATTCCATTTCATCCACTAAAAAAACCCCCCCATGTCATCCAAAATAAGTAAAGTAAAGGTTACGTAATACTTGAACGGCCCCCTACGGTATATCGGAGTCTTGATAAAGAAGATAATAATAAATCAATGTTTATAAAATATACCGGATAAATATTATTTTCGTATACCATTATGAAGTATGTAATATTAATAATTTTGAAGGTCATTTCCTATTATGTACACGGTCACAAAAATAAATACTGTAACATATCGCTTATCAGAATTACAAAAATATACATGCAGAATGATTTTACATTAAAATTCTCATAATTTCAACCACAAATATTATAAATATACGTGTAGGTCGCCCACATAGACAATTGCGATAATTTCTTTTTTTTTTAATAATTTAAAATTGAAAGTTTTGCGATTACGTATGAACAATTTGGCCGTAGCAGGTAGAAGTATTGTACGATTTTAAATTACCACTTTTCAACGAGAGAGAAAAGTCTCTTCAGACAGAGAAGAGCTGGGAGTTTCGTTAATTGTTAATGTTAGTACATTTAAATTAAAATAAAAGTACATTAAAATCTGACTAAAGGAGCTGAAAGCCTCTCTAACTTGTGACATATAGTATAATATTGTAGCTTTTGAATTAATATAAATAGCATGATTTGTCACCACTGTGGCATAAAAATATAACATATCAACCTAAGCTTACATTATCATTGGGCCAATTAACTAATTTTGTATGAGATCATTTGTTGTGATGTCAATACAAAACCATTTCAATTGATGGACTGCGATAATGTAACACAGGTTCAGTCCATACGGTCCGAGCCACGACGCCATTGGATTGGCCCATATGCAAAGCGGGCGGGACGTAGCAGCATATGAGCCAATAGAACAGCGTCGTCGGTAGGAGTAAATGTGTGGGGGTTCATGTTTAATATGTTGGCCCAGAGTCCAGATAAACATACAGTTTATGTATTTATTAACCGAAAAATAAATATAATGTATAAATGATTAAATTAAATAATTATAAATTGGTATGAATTATAAATTATGTCTTTATTCATATACCTAAATATATTTAAAAGGCTCTTAATCAACGCTCGCGATTGGAATAGCATTTCTCAACATATATGTCTATATTTCTTCGATTACTCACTTTAACTCAGCATCTTTATATTCCGTTACCAAAACCAACAGTTTTAGAAACCAAATATGTATAAAAGATACTGGTTGTATTCAGTCATCGTCACTGGACATCAATGGTGTCCCAAACACTTTATAAGGCATCACTTATGACTTGTCAAGGTTTATTATATAGCCTCCTGTAGCTGACTCCACTATCACAAAACTCATTCATAATTATTCTACACAGGAACAAATGGAAGACCACTATTAAAAGTATTATCGAAATCCAGAACAGAGGGTTCAAACCCCCTAAGCTATAACCATGCTTGTGTAACGCTATAACATGGTTCTCATGTGCCGGAGCTTCCGCCACTTCATGTACGTGTATTGCATGCCTTAGATCTTCCATATGCTGCTTATCGGCAGTTATATACAATATTGCTGTCAACGGTTCAGTCAGTTTAACAGGGAAATACTTCTTGTAAGGCCCCAACTGGACAGGCGAGTCTAGACAGCCTGCATCGCAAGCATAGTATGTTTTGTCAGACCTGTCTAAGGCTACAAAAATAGCTGCTTTGTTATCTTCCTGGAGAATTACACTTATGTTCACATGAGTCATGTTCCCATATGTGACGCGCCTAAAAAGGAAGTCTCTGTGCAATTTAGAGGGGTGTATGTTGTATTCTAAATGTTGGTTACTGAAACGCAAACTTCCAAAACTAAGTATCATTGCTTGATTGACCCCACTGGCGCCAGCAGCTAGCAGTTTGTAGCAGCCCTGTTTTTCCAATGTTAACAGCCAAATACTAGCTACATCATTTATACTTGACAATGAATTTAAAGGCTTCCATAAGTTCAATGCATCCAACGTAGAATGACCTTCGTAACAGCCTTCTGAATAAGTCAGTGTTCTTAGTATTTCAGATTTTCTGGCAGATTTTATATGTTCCTCATTTTCATAACTACGTACCTGTGATAGGATGGTATATATGGTAGCATTTATGCGGTCTCCATTAATAACTCCCTCAGCTTTCGAATCTGATATATAAAAGCCAGTATACCAAAGGGCTTGCCAGACTCTGATGTGGTTATCTTGTAGAGTTCTGATAGCTGCTCTATCCCATGTTAGACCAATTACCTTCTCCATTTCTGTTATTGCCTTCTTTTCAACCACATCCTTGTGTTTAGCATAGTCCGCTTTCTTGATTGGACTGCTGTACTGGACGGTAGTTAGTACTAAGATGTCTATACCATCCCGAGCTCCAATTTGAATATTATTACTGAGTTTTCTACTCACCACTGATACAGCCACAACATACTCACTATCAGGCAGTTGTACCATACCTGTGTACACTTCATACTCCTTTGTATCAACACCCTGATGTAATTTTACTGTTTGTTTAACAGCTGTCGGCCACTCCGATATCCTTGGCATAGACATCCGTAATGTCTTACCAGTGTTCGTAGGATTGTTTACCCATATCTCTTGTACAAACAATGACGGTATTGTTCTATGTGCATAATACTTGTATGAGATCTGTAAACCTTCATTACTACATTGAAATCTATGGACGATCCCTTTTTTATACTCTGTAACAGTGTACTCCCTTATGTCATAATCTTCTATTATATATAGAGGATGATAATACACTGGTAGAGATAAGGAACGACCAAATTTGATGTTGAGATGCGAGTCATGTTCTAAAGTAAGGCCAATCAGACCGTTACCTGCATAAGGCACATAGTTATAGCTTAAAGTAGACAGCGTGGCCAGAGACTCCTGCCTTACATACACATCGTACTCATTAAGAGCGTCTTGGAATGGGTTTAGGAAGTTTCTCTGACACACATTCTGCTGTGAAACAGCGTCTTCGGACCCAAACAACCAATTCATTAATCCTGGCCCTATATATAACAGTAAGAATACTGCAACAAGGCATAGCAACACTAATTTCTTCCTCGTGATCGGTCCATCAATGATTCTTTGGATCCGCCGAGCAAATTCTCCGGCTCTTCGACCCATGTCGTTGACGCCGCTACCTCTTTCCATCACCTTTATTATCTATTCTTGGATAGAAATACACTTATATAATCGTGAACTGTTAGCCTTCAAGTGAGACCAATAATTGTCATTGTAATTTATACAATTCGTGGTCGAAATTATTAATTTCAACAGGGTTTTTACTTCGAAATACAGTGCTAGAGAAAGCAAAGTAATGACAAAATAAATAGACAAATTGTCAATGACAATATTTCCATCACACTATAGTAGACTGACATTTTGACGATGAGACTGACTTGGACACATTGTCAAGTAATGACAGTTCTGAAAAGAATTGCCATGTCAATAATAAAAACGCCTGTTTAAGACGCTGATTATTTATTAAGGTTTCTTAAGGGTCGGCAACGTGCACGTGACACCCCTGGTGCTCAGGCGTCCATAGGCTACGGTAACCATTTACCATCAGATGGGCCGTATACTAGTTTGCCACCATAGTAATATAAATAAAAAAACTTGGATGCGGTTATATAATATAGTTGTTAACAATTCACATTTGAAGAATTGAAATAAAAAAAAATAGTTTATTTCTTATAAGAACTATTTTAGAGCTCAAGCATAGTAGTATAGGTTATACTTATTTATACTTATACTTATATACATAATAGGCCGCTGACTTCCAGTCCTTATATGCAAAGCAAAAATATTTTACAGGATATTGAAATATAGGTAACATAGAATTATCATCACTTAATGTTCTATAAAGGACCCATAAATGTATTAATTAGAATTTATTAATCGCTGAATTATATAATTACTTACCGAGATATATTTTGTGCAAAGTCATTTGTCTCATCTATTTCAGCCGCCAAGCAACTTGCTTTGGAAGATTTGTCATAGTTTCTACAGTTTCAAGATATTGCAACAAAATTATAGAATGCAGACTGCAGAGAATATTTAGACCTATAGAACAGCAATGTTTCAGGGGTAACCATGGGCATCACATGATGATGTGCTGTTCATGTATATAGCTAGCATATACAGCTGACAGCTAGCACATAATCAGCTAGTTTGCCGTAGCAGTTGAATAAAAAAAAGGTATAATGCAGTGAAAACTGATGATAATGTAAACATTTTTTCAACCGACTTAAATTTTATTTTTATATGTAAACACGTTTTGAATGAAGGTTCATAGAATAAAAACAACTATGGTAATATCTAAACTATATTTCTCTAATACATTTAAAACTATCACATTATTAGAAAACTAAGGCATTAAAAGACGTGCCCGAGTGTGTATATAATTCAAAAACAGCACCAAACAAGTTAATAAGGCACAATGTAGACTGTAGAGGATATTGGTTCTAGTATTATAACAATATTGAACATTTTTAACCGACTTCAAAAATGAAAATGCTATGAATATTTTAATATCCATATTTTTTCGTCAATTGTACACTTATGTATATGCGTGTGTGTTATAATGATTTTTTTGTGTAAGTATTGTCGTCAAATTTGAAGTCGGTTTCTTATAATTAACACTAAATTATTGAGATTCTATTACAATGAATAATTTTAAATTCGTAGGATCGTCCCTTTACATAGTTCTGTATCAAAATATAAAATTAATATTAGCAAACATTTTATAACATATAATAAATTAAAAACATAGATATGCATTTTTCCGTTTTATGAAAAATGAACTCTATTAAAAAATATATACAGATTAATACCAATCAAGTTTAAATAAATATCTCTTTATGTTCAAATAAAGATTTATAAAAAATAATAATTTATCATATTATTAAATAGAAAATAAGATTATTTATTATTGGAATTAAATCATATTACAAAGATTAAAAGAATGTTTTGCTCCATAATAAAATGTTACAATAAAAAATAAAATCTAAGTAGAAAGGTACAATAAATCTTAATAATTAAGTATATATTTATATAAAAAAAAGGAATGATTTACATAATACCGGAAGTATATAATAAAACAATGGAATAGTAAAGAATAATAAATGCATATCAACATTGTATATGGTTAAATAACCGTTAATCTACAAATAGTATCAAATAGGAAAGTTGCTATTTTCGTTTGTCTTATCTCTCTGCTGATTACTTCTAAACTATGCAACCAAGTTTAATACGGGTTTCACTTTGTTGTAGTACATTTGATGTTATTTATCGGATGACTTTGTTAATCATTCGAAAAAGAATATAGCATTACAGGTATATAAAGACAATTCAATTGATGTTGAAGTCTTAAATAACTTTAAAAACTAAACACTAGCGCCATCTGCGCTCATCCTACTCTATTCTTTTTAGTTTGTGTTCTGCTCTGTGCTCACTTTATTACCACGCATGTTTATTATTTATTATACAAAATTTATAAATTACTTCCTTTTCCGTGACCATACAACGCTATAAAACGCAATAAACTTTCACAAAAGTCATCCGGTATAAACAAAATGTTAGACAAAAACCATAGAGTAACATTGTTAGACAACTATTTCCTTAATAACATAAAAAAATAAGAAAAATAAAAAAATACGTGAATAAATACAGTACACTATCAAATGTATCAAATAAATTATCAATATTTTATACTTGCACGAAATAATTCAATACAGACAATCAAATATTACAACCACAATTGTCTTGACAAAATCCAATTTCATGCACAAAAGGAACCGAAATAAATAAAAACAAAATTTAATACTGTTTTCAATGGAAAGACAAGCGAGATCTTCGTATGTTAACATCACATTTTTAATGGATTAGCACGAAATTATTGTAATAATTTAAAAAAATATACTAAATTAATTTCTATACTAATAAATATAGTTACGAAATTCAACAATTATTGCCTCTGTTATATCTTCTATGTTTCATCTTTAATATTGTCTCGAAAAGTGTCATAGACAACCAAAATATAATGTTAGTATTTATAAAACACCCTTAGTCATAAAAAAAAAACTATTTTTGGCTATCGAACTGTTTTATTGGTAAGCTATTGTACTTTTCTGTTCACAGCTGCGATTGTTAACAAATCCTTTGGCTACCAAGTTTCGGATTCCAGTCGTGAGGTCCTTTTATTATTTTCATAACTAAAATAATTCATTATTATTATTATATTATATTTATAATATTTAGTTTTCTTTTAATTTAAAGAATAAAAAAATGTTAACAGTTAAAATATGTTTTTTATTTTTATGACTAAGGAGAGTAAGAGACTTGAACGAAATCTATAACATGTAACAGAATTAACCCAATTTTTTTTAAACATGCAATCAAATTGTATTTTATACAATTTTGACGGTCTCTTTGATGCTGTGATTTAGAACACCAGGTCATGGGTTTGATTACCATATAATAAGTTTGACGCAAGATGCAGAGCTATATACTAGTTTAAAAAAAATACTTTTTAGTTAATATACATAAAAGTATGCATTATTAATTTAACCCAATTCCTGATAAGTAATAAATAATAATAACGTAAAAATAACATATGTGAACTTTTAATAAACCGTATAGCGTTGCAATAAGGCTTATTTTCGTATGATTAGATTTATGACATCATTAGTAATTTTTAATAACGTTAAAATAATAAAAAAAAACGTGAATTGATCGACGCCATCGGGTTTACCATACTATTTTAGACATTGGATTAACTCTGTTACTATATCATAGATGGTGACAATAAAGCATACGGCCCATCTGATGGTAAATGGTTATCGTAGCCTATGTATTTGCTTGTAATAAATATTAAAGATATAAATTTACTCTTGGTCGACTGTACGCCACTCTCGATCTGAGCGGAGCAGCACTATCTCGTCTTCGGAGTCTGTTTCCGACGGTGGCAGTTCTTCCACGTCGTAGTATGGTTTACGGACGATTTCTGTTGAGAAATCTTATTAATATCATAAACGCGAAAGTTTGTGAGTGTTGATGGACGTTTGTAACTCTTATACGCTATATCTACTGAATATTTATTGAAACTTTACAATATACAAAATTTCAAGCGTATGATATATGCAGCTAGTATATTTTTATAATACTACAAATAGTGTAAATATATTTAATTCAAAACCTCGTCAGCTTGAATTGTAAAGTTTAGGTGCATGCGCATTCCTAGGATTCATTAGTAGGCTTTCCTTTGATTGGTTTATTTCTAAAGAGGGCGGGGCATAGCAAGCAATGCGCCAATCAAATGCGTTTCTAATAAAGGGTCATTCTAGTCCATCATAAATTAACAATTTTATGATTTTTTGCCCACTCCCCGTGTCCTTGTCCCAGCTGGTCACGTTTGGGAGGTTCCACCCTTCGTTAGTGTGACGTCACTTGTTTTTTTCAATTTTTCACTTGTTTTTGTGATAAACTCATGGTGAGTTTGCTTTCGCCATGATGGGCAATCTGACCTGACAATGCTGTGTTGAGGATGATAGGAATCATCTTCCACTGGTATCACGCCAGCGTATATCGTTCGCGAAACCATGTGCACTATAACCGTGTGTACATAATTAATGCTAAAAAAATGTTAATGACGAATTACTAACCATAGTTGTTGTCTTCACACAGCGGGCGCTTATCGTCAGAAGGTAGAGGAGCAAATAAGTACTCCCTTCGCGATTCGCGCGCCTTCTGGCGGCAACTGAAGCACCAGGCAGCTAACGTCACCACTGCCACGCCTACTACACCTGTACGGGTATTTTAATAAAAAAAATGTATAAATTTACAATGTTTGTTTATAGTATTAGTGTAAGGTCTACAAATATACATGCGCACAAATTCATTCGTCGTGGAGATCTTTGGGGGAGGCCTTTGTTCAGCAGTCGACGTCGTCGACGAGACGAGACGGACGTCTTCCAGGCTGAGAAGATGATGGTGATGACAAAGTCATGGGCATAACTAGTTTTATCTATATATTAATACCTGAAGCCAAAACTATGTACCCGTTTTTCACGAAACTTGCGTGGACTAAGGCGTATGAAATTTCGCACATTTATTGTTTATGCAGAATGGTAATATTTTTTTATAATTATGCATAAAAATTAACATTAAATCAATAAAAATATTATACACTTTACCGTGTATTTGCAATACACACGTATAGAAATATACATAGTCTTTGATAATAGAACCCTGTTCAAAATCTACCCTGTAACATCGTAAGCACAGATTATTATATTAGAGTCCGTTAGTTTGTGTTCCCGCGGTTTCTGTTCCCCTCCCTTACCCAGTACTGAACTGACCGTACAGCGGCCTTGACGCGCGCGCGCATTGTGTTGTGAATTAAAATAAATTAGAACTGTGAAACTGGAAAGCTAGCGAAGATACCTTCGAGACCCTGAAGCCCAAGAAATCCGCAGAACCATACAGGTACGAGACAGACGTTTCCAAATATTTTTCCCTATATATATACATAGTACTTTCCCTAACATTTAACCTAACATAATATGTTCAAACTTATAATTTTTATTAATTATGGGAATTTCGACCATTGGGAACCACTAGTTGGGAACCACGTATTGCAGAGCTACTCACCTGCCAGCATGACGAATAACAGACGAGGCATACCGAGCACATCATCGTCTTTCTCCAGTTTCAATAGTATGTTGGGTGTGACATTGTCTTCTGAATTTGTCTGGAAATAAATAATTTATTTATATACTTTGTTGCACCAGATGTTTTATAGGAATTAAATTAAAAGAGTAATAGGGTACAAAAGGCGGTCTTATCGCTTATGCAATCTCTTCTAGACAACCTTTGGGTGCAGTAGAAAAGACAGACCAGAGATTAAAAAGACCAGATGTTAGTCATTTCTTTGTAAGTTGTTTCTCGATTGTATGCAGTGCCGCCGTCGGTGTAGTCTAGGACAGTACGGTTTCCGTTTAGATTGTGGAATTACTACCTGTCGAGGTGTTCTCTAGTATGGGCTTTTTCGAGACGGTCAAATCAAGGTTTCTTACGGTTGGCAACGCGCACGTGACACCCCTAGTGTTTTAGGCGTCAACAGGTAACGATAATCGTATACCAAGGTCGGCCGATGGTCTGGTTGCTACCAATGTAGTATAAAAAAAAGTAAAACTAATAAGAATCTTACCCTAATGTGCTTCTGTTTAGTGATGTACCCGTCGACAGAGGCTGACACTATTATTTCTTTGTCTGCGTACTTCTTAGGTAGGGATAGTACAAACCGGCCGACCTCATCGCTAATATTAGTCGATATAGGCTTTATAGAACTGAGAGTGAAAACCTTCAGCTGGGCGTTGCTTAGTTGCTGGCTGTCGTGGTCCATTATCCAACCTAGAATAAAAATGTTTAGAGTAATTCACTTTACGAAAGGATATTTAAAAAATAACATTTTTAACACTGAGTGTTACTGCCCAACCCTAGTCCCAAGGTAAGCCAAGTTTGTGTTCTGGGTACTACTCTACCGACATAATAATAATAATCCTGGACAATTCACACAGCGCCATCTAGTCCCAAGTATGGGTATTATACATATAAATACATAGATACAGTTTGTTTTGTGACGCTGTTTTATGACCATCACAGCTTTACCGCAAGGGCAGATGCCCCTGGAAATTTGCGGAAAGACTTATCTTCCTCTGTAGCGGCTGAAGATCAACTCTTGCGGTTACGAATTTAGTTTGAGGTGCTCTCAGACAAAAATTTTAGGGGTTCGAACCCCGTTTGAGTTGGACGGGGGAACGGCGGGGACGTATAGTATATATACCATATTTTTATAGATGTATGTTGTTAAAGGAAAATAAACTCTAATTATACCTGTGATATATATGGTATTAGGATCCTTGTCGGTGATCTGAAGTTCAGGATACTGCCCCCCAGGGAGACTTTCAGCATTTTCACGGAGCAGAATTATGTCTTTCTGTTTCAGAATTCCATCAATTATACGCCATGTCAACATCTGGAAAAATGGTACAATTTACATGATTTTCTCAGTATCATCATATAAAAATATATTTGAAGCGCATTTTGTATTGATTGAGATTTTTTTTAATATAATACTCTTTATTTCCAGTGGGAATGAGTAAGTCAAACTGACATCGTACATAAGTATATAGTATAGTACTAGTCATCATTACGGCATCGGTGGTAAACCACCTCGGTGTTTTAGAGCGAAGAAGAATTGCCAAGAAACTCAGCTCTTATTCTTTTCAAATGAGCTTGCGAATTTTAAGGTAAATATAGGTATTTACCTATCCCGAAGTTTACCATAAAACTATTTGTTTTAAAACCCGTTTAACTATATTAATGTGTACTAAACGCGGAATTTAAAAATATTCTTGTTTTATTTACAAAAATAAATAATAAATAACCCTGTACAATTAACATAGTGCCAGTCCCACGGTAAGTAATGGGTAGTAGATACCTAATCAACTACAAAATGTAATGTAAATACTTCGATTTTTTTTTGTAAATACATACATAATATATAAAAAAACACACCTAGACCGATACAAACAATCATACTCATGAATACAAATATTTGCACCGTGCGGGGAATCGAACCCGCGACCATCGGAAATAAAGCAGCGTGCTAAACCGCTAGACCACCGAGGCAGTCAACTCTGTAATTAAAGCTGTTTATGATTACTAATTTACCTGTTCGCGGTAGTTGTGACACTGGATGAGTACGCGGTAGTCTCCAGGCGGTAGTAACGCGCGGTAGTGCGCCATATTGGATGAGACGGCCACCCGGTGCGTGCCGATACTTGTTTGTAGTGACACTACCGCCTGCCGCATGGGCGCGCCTTGTTCATTCTTTATGTACCCTACCACACCTGCATATAAAATAATAATAAGTATTACCCTCGTAAAGAGGGAGATGTATAAAATACTAGCTGTGTCGCGACTTCGCCCGCGTGGAATACTAAATTTGGATAGCATTTTTACTAGATTTAAAGACAAACTTGCCGTCCCCAAGTATCGTTTAGAAAAAGTTAATAGGTCTTTTATGGGAATAGGTATAAAAATTTACAATAAGATACCAAAGGATATGTTGGAATTACCCTTAAATAAATTCAAAACATCTGTTAAATCATATTTACTGAGCAAAGCCTATTACTCACTAAACGATTACTTGAATGACGAGTGTGCATGGCAATAGTTGTTCATGCACTGAATTTTCATTTAATGTTAGACATAGACACCTATATAAAAATACATTGTAAATAAACTGGCTTTAAAAAAAAAGTAATTCAATTGAGATTCTTGCCAGTTCTTCTCAATTGGATCTATATACCGAACTGGACGGTAGGGAAAAAATAAAATTATAATGTAAAAATTTGACGTTCATAAGCGGCTAAAATGTCCTACATGAATAAATTATTTTTGAATTTTGAATGATTTATTGCTAATTATTTTACAAATAAGACATAGGTAAGTATTATTACTTGTAGATTAAGTATTACATTGCAGTGAAACACTAGAAACAGCTTATTAAAATCTCTGCGACTTCCATATATAACTTTCTATTTTATTTTATCCCTTAAGGGTAAAATTTTTACCAAATTTGGATGTCATATTTATTTAAATTTAATTAATAGTATAAAAAGACTATCTGTGTATCAAATTTAATTTACCAATATATATAGTAGGTACGTACGTAGCGTAAGTTTCTAAAACTGCGAGTCTTACTGAATATCAAATATAACAAATATTATGGTTTGACTAATTACAAAATATTTAAATTATGGTCGAATTTTATTAGTATAAAAGTTCCAAAAAAAAAATCGATTTCATCACTGGGCGACCACTAGTATATAATAAATATGCAATTCTCGTGTCACAATGTTATATAGATACTACACTCCTCCGAAACGGCTTGACCGATTTTTATGAAATTTTATATGCATATTCAGTAGGTCTGAGAATCGGCTACTATCTATTTTTTATAATCCTAAGTGATAAGGGTTGGGTTTATTATGATTTAGCATTAAAAAATGCATACAACCCTAAATTTTCGCCCTTCTAGCATCAACCCTATTTTTTTAATAGCGTTTTAATATTTATATATCTATAAATAACTCACCAGTTCTAGTCAATTCCACGAACTTCATTATACCCATCAGATTGTTTCTCCACACACCAGCAATGTCCTGATCCACGGGCATTTTACAGCAACTGAGTCCCACTGATATAACCGGCGTGTCGTATCTCTCACGTAACAGATCTATCAAATTTCCATGCACCACATTAATGTTAGACGAGGTACATTCATATTTATTGCTCGGACTTCTGTAATCCTGGTACCTCTGCGCGAATTTCTTATACAAAACTCTAGATAAGTCAGGATATGCTACATCCTCTGTCCCCGACGCTAGTTCTAGAACGAGATCGTACTTCTCGGCTGTCAGCATATCTATGAACGCCTTTTCTCTCGTATAATTTGATAGAGGATTTAGATCTTTCTTTGTTATAAAATTGTATAAACTATCTCCAAATTCTTCTTCCAATAACTCTATTTCACATTTATTAGTATCGTTCATTTGTTTTAACACTTTCTCGTATAAGATATCGAGGTTCGGTATGAAATGTAGGACGGTCGTTTGGAGAAGTTTCTGATGGATGGGTTCTCCGATTGTGTATGCTGTTGCGACGTGGCGTGCGAAGTTGAGTACCATCTCCTGACCTAATGGTTGGGAGCCGTAGAAGCTACTCACGATGGCGACGTGGAATTTGGTTTCTTCTGGTGAACCGACCTAGAAATGTACACACAATTTATGTAACACTTATTCTTTGCTTTTTCTTTCATAATTATCAACAAGAAACATGTTAATTTCTAACTAACATTGACTATTTATGATGTTTCTATAACAGCATTAATAAAACAATTGTTTTTATTAGAAAATACAGAACCTATTTTTTTTGTCTCGTAACGAATCAAGATAATACTCCCTTTTGAATAATGGCATTATTAAATAGATAGTGATAAGAACCTGATCGGTCATCTTCAGCTGATGGAAGGTGGCCGTGGTGAGGCTGTCCCCGGACCTGAACTCCGCTATATCAGGATACTTGTTCTCCAGTTCTGATAGCATCTCGTACAGCTCCAGCGGCGTGTGGTACCGGGTGTTAATCACGTTGTCCAGAACACTGTTGGGTTGGTTGTGTTTTTTTAATGTGAATGGAATGATGCATTCTCCTGCGCTAACATGATAAACTAATTGGGCATTGGTGGAAGATGACGAGGTCAGTTAAATCAACGCAGTAATCTTATTTACTACTATGATGACAGCAAGCAAGCATACGTCTTATCTGATGGTAAACGGTTACCGTAGCCTGTATGTACGCCTGAGACACCACATGACACTCCTCAGAAACCTTAATAAACCTTTTATTAATTAAAGTTAAATAGGTTTTAACACGAATACTTTTATGACAATTATGATGGTCAGTTAGCTCGTGACCACGGCTAGTGCAACCTACTCCAAACGTTGAGTGAGGAGGATCTTTATTTACCATAGAATTATCTTGTTAAAAACGTTAACTATATTAATAATGTATATTAAACGCGACAGGTTAATATTATTCATGGAAAACACTATGCTGTAGTCTCTCGAGAAAACTTCGGCAGAGTTCATTCACAGTCTAGTCGTACGCGCGTGTATTCGAGAAACCAATATGGTTTCCATGCCACCTCTACCAACATACTGGGAGGACAACAGAGAAGTGCTGCTACAGTATATTGAACAGGTGAAACAACATATGATGTACTTTCATAACTATTATACCACAGGGGGAATACGATTTTTAGTAATGATGATTAATGAATCCATTGGTAGCCATGTACCATGTCAGCTTGACCTACACATGGGTCCCTTTTTTTTTTCGGACTACTCTAATGCTGTAGGCCGCAGCTCGCCTTTACAGCTTCACCGGACGTTAGGGGGCGAGTGCCGATGGCACTCCAAACCCGCTGAAGGACTTATGGAGCGGCTGAAGACCAACTCCTGCCTGACGGATACGACTTTAGTCTGAGAGCACCACTAGGGATTCGAACTTCGGCTCAGGCCGTCGTATTTTCGATCCCCATTTGAATTGCACGGGAGATCGATCGGAGGGGCACATGGGTCTCCTAGAAACCATCGTGATAAGTTCCTGGTGAATTTGCCACAATGGGCTAACTGACCTGATCTCATGCTCATATTATCCTGCACTGATGGCCGTCAGCGTAAACCGTTAGTACGGGTAGCGCGCATCATTTCAATATTATCAAATAAAAAAAAAATGGGGCCAATAGGGACTCTCAACCCCTCTGGTTGGTTGTGATAATCATTGTGAGTATTTATTTAACTATTTGAGCGAGCAACAAGACATAAACTATGAAGTTAATTATTATCTCTTGCAAGAAGTTCAGGTATATTGTCAGGTATATAATAGTGTTGACTTAATTACTGTTTGCATGGCAAAAATAAATATTTACAGAAGTTTAATTGTTAATTATAAATATTTGTATATATAATAAATTTCTATTTTGACTGTCAATGTTAATGAACGGGTTTGACTTATTTTCATTATGTGTTTTTGAGTGGCTGACTTGAATTTGGTGAAAGTGGAGAACACGCCAATGTCTGAACTCTTCGCTACAATATTATAGTTGTTTTCTATTCTATTAATGGTAAAGAAGTGTCCCAAATTGCTTCTGAATTGCATTTTTGCGAATAAAGAATACTTTTTGCTGCCAGGTAATTTACAGAGTGCGTTTATAATAGTTAATTGTAGATAAGCAGATAATTATATACGTATAGTATGTTCATAGTGTGCTATAATTTTACCTAATGAAATGGTAAATCTATTAGAACTGTAAGAAAACCTACAAAATTAATTATAGTTCTTGTTCCTTATAGCCTACTACTTAGATATATAGATCAGAAGAAGAGAAGAGAGAAGAGAGATGAGTAAATAGCGTTGAGAGGGAAGAGAAGGTAGTTGTTGAATTGAAAGTGTTGTTATTTTTGCTATTTACAAATTATTTTTCTAAAACTAATTTTGAATTCGGACTTCCATTAAGGAGATGGAGCTTTCTAGAGACTTTTTCGTGGTTGCAATCAGGAATGGCAACTCAACTGCTACCACGTCGTAGTTTTAGTATTTTCGAATAAGAACATTCATCCTTTGTCTTTATTTGCGCGTCATTCACCATTTTTTCACCAGAAACCTCATCACTTATAATCAATAGTAAACAATAAAGGTACTGAGGTACACTTTGTAAGAAGTCGTTTGCGTGAATACTCTGTATCACCTACTGTAGCCATCGAACAACTTGCTTCGTAAGATGAGATTCGATGGAAGAGATAAGACAGTGAAGTTATAGATATTTTAGACATTTCACACAGCGCCATGTAGTCACAATCTAAACAGAGCTTGTAGGTACTAAACAACTGATAGAAATACTTACACACTTTTTTTGTGAATACATATATACATATTATAAAACAACCAGATCAAAACAAATAACCATAAATAAAAATGCTTGCATCATGGAGCTTAAGGAATCGAACCCGCGAAAATCAGATTTAAAGCGGTGTACTAAACTATTAGATCACCGAGGCTTTTAAATTAAGTTGATTACGGCGGCATGAAATAGAAATTGTAAAGTGCGTTTCATGACGGCATTACTGTAGTACTGTTAATATATATGTATATTATATAGGCGATGATTACCATTTACCATTAAGCTATCCAACAGCTTGTTTACAATTCCAGTTACGTAAAAATGTAGATGAAATTAAAAAAAAAATAGGAAAATGTTAGTGTAAGCGGACAATTAGTGCAAAGAACAACACATACAAATGCTATGCGTGCCAGTTTATTATGTGTTACATACATTTAAATGTTTATAATTAATTAGAATATTGAATATAAAGTATTGTAAGCATATATGTTTGAAAGAGTTTCTCAAACTGTTGTGAAACTGAAATACATTAATATTTCTTCCATCCAAACATAATTAATTTATAATTATTATTATTCATTTAGTTAGTTGCTTGAGCAATATTTTTCATAAAAAAAAACAGTTTGAAAACCTCTCATCAGAATAGAATAACATATAAAAATAATATAATTACATACAATGAAATGAAATTATAAGTACAGTCGAAACATTTTTGTTAATGCTTCATTCTCATGAATCTCTCTATCATCTCTAAATTTAATTTCAATATACAAACTAATTATCACAATACATAATACATTCGATAAAATTTTGTCTTTTTGAATAATTTTACACAATTTAAATTAGTACTTATAATAAATTAACAAAAATATTCCGACTGTACTTTGGAATGTCTAAATATATTACCTTTTAAACTGGTATATGATACAATGAAAAGCCTCTTTATATGATATAAATTTGAATAAAAGTATAAAAACAATTGGAAGTTTTGTGAAATATACAACTAACATTTTAATGCAATTAAAAATATATTTAGTTGTCATATTTTCGAATAAAAATAATTATTTATTAGCATTTCAAAACCTTTATAGTTTGTAATAAGGTTTGTTTTCCAATGACTCAACTCATTACAACAGCAGAGGTTTCATATTTATTATATAGTCTGTGGCCAGTATTAGCAATTATTTGTATAGACTCTATATTTCAGTCAAAGGCTTGTCTACACAAGGACATTCCAAATTAAAAAATAATCACGATTATGTAAAAATCAGCAATACAAAATAGACTTAAGATTACCTAAAAATAAAATTCAAATTACCATACAATGGAATGCGTCAAGTCAAGTCATAGAAAACATATATACTCATTAAATATATAGCAATGAGATATATATACTATGAAATAGATTATTGTAAACTTAACCTTACTTGTGACATTTGTATTAATTCAAACTATAACTATAGAATTATATATGCGAGATTACAAGCACAAAGTCATATATAAAACTAGTTAACCTAAGAGATATCAGTGTCAAAGCGAAATGAAACGTATTGTTGTACACACAAGGCGCATATTACTTACCGGAAATCATAAGCGGAAGACCAATGCTGGGGGTCATCGGCCATCAGCGTGAAGTTGAAGCTTACTGATCCGTTCTCAGGAACTGTGATCTCCTCTGTGATGGTTTCATAACTGTAAACAATGACACGAACTTCTTAGCATCCCATAGATTTACCGTCATTCATTTTTGAGGGTTTTGGGCTATTGTCAGGTGCTTTAGATCTGTAGCACTGAGACCTACAAAGATCTATTGTGCTCGCTCTTTTTCAAAGTTCGCTACCTGTCTGGGACAAGAATTGAAGGATATTCTTAGGAGCGATGGTTTTTATCTCCTCAGGATAGAGTGTATACCTCCCAAAGGAGATATTTCATATATGCATAAGTGGGCTATAACCACATAGGATGTGCAGTGGTGTTTCCTCTTCAGCTCGACAAAATCTGCAGATTTTAGAATCTGCATAGTCTGGAATTGCAATGTGCTTATTAAATTTGCTGTGACCAGTGAGATTTTGATTTCCTCTTATTAATTGTTTAACCAGTTGGTTATGTATTCAATATTTTTTTCTTTTTGAGTATTTAATTGAATTGCAATCGTGGTTTGTATTCACACACTTAAACTTAAATTGTAAGTAAGAATAAATTATTTAAAAGAGCAACACACAAGTTTCTTGCTTGTTCTTCTTGTGATGAGACAGCATTCAATGATAGATTAAAAAAAAAAAAAAAAATGTTATGACTATTCAAAAGTGCTTCAATGTAAGTTTATTTGAATAAATGATTTTCTATTTCTATTTCTTATTTCTATTATGTGATTCTTCTTGTGATGAGACAGCTTTCCGAATGAGCGGTAGATTAAAAAAAAATATGACTATTCTAAACTGCAAAATTAAGTTTTTTTTATAAGGAAAAACTCCCTAGTACAATACACAGCGTCATCTAAGTTAAGCTGAGCTTGTGTTGGTACTAGACTACTGTTATTAATACATAAATCCTTATTTGTTCGTAAATACATACATAACATACACAGAAAACACCCAGACCGATACAAACAATCATACTCATGACCACTGGACCGCGCATCGGACGTCAAGCGGTGTGCTACCACTACACCACTGAGACCGTCAAAAGTTTATATGAATAATGGATCTTCTATTCTATTCTTACCCGTCCCTGGTGGCGGTGACGTTGTATGTGCCGGGCAGCAGCAATCGCCAGAAGTCACCGTCAGGGCCGCTGCGGACCACGTGGCGGCGGCCTGACACCGAGATCATCGCGTCACTCAGGGCGTGCCCGATATGACTGTGCACGAACCCATACACCCCTTTGTGGACCTGGTATAAACACAAATCTATATTACAATCATGGGTAATTAAGTACGGTGTGGCAGGGTCGGGCAAGTACCCTACCCTGGCTCTAACCTGTAAGGTACTTAACCTAAAAATAAAGTGTCTAAGTACTAACTAAGATACTTAATATCCGTAACAAATATATATTCGACAGTCGACACAAAAAATAAAATACAGATACGATGGGTTAACTGACCTGATCTTATGCTCATTTTAAGATCCTTTATTGATGCTCCACTAGTGTAAACCGTGGTTTTAACTGATGGGTCATCAGCAAGGTAGGCGGTTTTATTTATATTATATAAAAAAAAAAAAAGAAAATGACATTATGTAGAATAACTGTCAAGTTACAAACTATACTCTATTTATTATCACATTTAATACAAAAGGATTATCAAGCAGCATAACTGCTTAGCACTTTGTCTGCAGTAAAAGCCCTTAACACTTATATGTACATACACACACACACACACACACACACACACACACACACGCACGCACGCACGCACGCACGCACGCACGCACGCACGCACGCACGCACGCACACACACACACACACACACACACACAACACATGCGGAAGTTTGGGAGTACGAAAAATCTACTGAATGGATTTTAATGAAACTTTATAATAATACAGTTCATACCTGACGTATAATAGTATAATATTTCATAATAAGCTATAAATTTCACACGGGTGAAACCGCGGGCATAACTTATATATATAGTTTCACCTGTTCAATATACTGCAGCAGCGCTTCCCTGTTGTCCTCCCAGTAAGTGGGCAGGTCCGACGCTGGTGGGAACTTCCTGCAGCCCAGCTCCAAGGTCAGCTCCATGTCGCTGGTGTGTAGATAGTTCCAGTCCTGCATCCCGCCGGCTAGCACGTACCTATATGTTAATTAGGGTTATTTTCAGTTGTTCAGTTCTGTTGTGAGCACACTGTTTTCGATGCTTAACACATACCAGTCTGACAAAAAATGTGGTGGGCCATTTATTACCTTTACACGGTACGTTCTTTCACGCGATATCAGCACCGCGCACGATTTAGCGCGGGACAGCTAACGTGCGCAATCGTGAGGGATTTAACACGTGCATTTAACTATTTTTTTGCTCACTCTTTCGCGCGTGTTTGCTCGTATGATTTATGTCATTTATTGATAGTTAACAAAACGCAATATCGTTATCATCTTAAAATTTAATGGTAGTTCCTTATAATTATGTATTAAAAACCAGTTGAATTTTGTTTTTTGTTGAATCTTGAATTTATAGTAAATATTAGAACAATGTCAAGATCGCGGGAAGGCATTGGATGCGAGCAGCGCATGCTTTGGGGGAGGCCTATGTCCAGCAGTGGACGTCTTCCGGGCTGCGATGATGATGATGATGATTAGAACAATGAACATGTTTTCAAACGGAGCAACTTACCATTTCGCTCCGTTCGTAATACCGCCCGGGAATCTTTCGTTGGGCATATCCTTGCACGGCCGCTCTAAATGCATTTTGTGATGTACCTGTAAATATATATTTTTGCTTTTTAAGATATTGGAATATATAATTCAGTACTACAAGTATCAAAGTCAAAATGTTAAGGACTTTTGCGACTCATATGCACATTAGTCGTTTCGCTACCCCATATCATCTGGTACCGCTATACAAGATAAGAAAATCTGACAAGAAACTAAACTACAAGTTTATTACTACTATTACTAATAATATTACTTTTAAGTTTTTTTATGGTATTTCAATATGGTTAATTTTCATTCAGTTATGTTATAATAAGGGTTGGCATAATATTGTTCAAAAAGCACCATCAGGATCCACCTGGTGGGTGCAGCAAGTTATGATGAAAACAATGACTTTAATTGTTTTTTGTAATAATGTATCTGAACTATGTGTATATATAATCATTTTATTATTTACCTTACAAGGAATCTGTCAAATAATCTCTGATATTATAATAACATTTTATTATATGTATTTTTTTTTAAATTTGTTTATAAATAATTTATCTTTTTTTATATTTTTCAAATGTTCCGGTAGTCTATTGTCTACTTTATGGACATTGCCAGAGGACAATATGAGTGCAAAATAAGTTTGGAATCTAGAAGCATTAATCATACTTTTAACAAACAACACGCAAGTTTCTTGTTCGTTCTAGTGATGAGTCTACATTCCAAATGAGTAGTAGAATAAAAAAATAGAACTATTAAAAACTATTTTCAAATTCAAAATATCTTTATTCATGTAGGTCTATTACAGACTATATGATATGTCAAATCTACCGTCAGTTCGAAATGATATCGAGATGAGAAGAACTGACAAGAAAATCAGCTCGTATTTTTTTTCAAATAATAGTGGAACATGTTTATAATAAATATAGTTATTAAAATTCAATTTTGGGAGAATAGAGTGACCAGCATATGCTATCGCAAAGAACAAAAAATTTAATCAGTGTTCACAACCTGAACAGACCAGTCCCCACAAACAGTTTACATTAAGTTTATTTGAATAAAGACTATTTCTATTAAAGTATTAATGAAATCAAATAAAAAAAAAAATTTGTCTAGTACCCATAACACAAGCTTTAGCCAGCTTGAGGGCGCTGTGGAAATTGTCCTGAGATTATTATTATTATATCTATTCCCATAAAAGACCTACAGACTTATTCTAAACGATTCTTAGGAACAGCAAGTATGTCTTCAAATCTAGTTGGTCAGTTTTTTTCTTATTTATTTTTAATTACATCTAATCTTACTATCAGGTGAGCCGCATGCTCGTTTGTCCCCTGTGTTATAAAAAAAAAATCTAGTTTATGATTTTTGATTGCTTATATAATGTAAACAAACTTACATCAGAGTACAAATGCGCCAGATGTACAAAGAAATCATTATCAGGCGATGGATTCTCGTTTCCGCTGTGCATTTCTGGGTTGCCATCGTACGGGTAGTTTGCCACGAGTGCGCCGCCGTGCAAGTTGGCAGACAGCGCAAACGGTATCGACTGCGACCACTTCATCACCGCCGCAGTCTCCGGCTCGGGGATCCTGTTATCCTGGACATGCAAAAACATATTACAGTGAAACCTGGTTAATTGAAATCTCAAGGGACCAAGAATTATATACCAATTATTATGGGTTGCCATTAATTGGGAAACTAGTCCCAATTAAGCAGGTTTAAAGTTTATTAATTTTTATACACGACACTATAGTGTAAGAGTGGTAGAATCAAAATATGACTATTCCAAAGTGCTTGTAATGAGTTTATTTGAATAAAGATTATTTCTATTTCTATTTACTAGTTTCAAACGAGAGAACATTCTTGCATTCCAATGCCTTACGAACTAGGATATAGAACATGATAAACATATAGTTCTTGCTAATCTCTGAGACTGGATCTATTTTGACGAAATTTCCACTGGCAGATAGCTATGTTAAAAGGAGTTAATTAGGCTATTTTTTATTCAGAAATTTTATTTATATTGAATAATACAAAAAAATCGGAACGACAGTCGCAGGTAACAGCTAGTTATTAGTATTAACCTTAGTAAATCCGTATTGGTCCGGGAAGTTCCTGTTTAAATCCACGTTGTGAGCATTTGACCGGCCCTTCGTGCTGCTATAGTCACCTACAATTAAAATAATAATAATTATTATAACATATAATAATAATATAAGTTTATTTACTCGATGGCCCCGATAGTCTAGCGGTTTAGCACACCGCCTTACTTTAGATGGTCGCGGGTTCGATTCCTCGCACGGCACGAACATTTGTATTCATGAGTATGATTGTTTGTAATGATCTGGGTGTTTTCTACGTATAATATGTACGTAAACGAAAAAAAATGTATTTGTATCAGTTATCCCACCATAACACGAGCTTTAGCTAGCTTAACTTGGGTCTAGATGGCGCTGTGTGAATTGTGATGAGATTATTATTATTAAATAGGTAACATTTTATTTAAAAAAATAACATGGTAGGATGTTTTCAGCATTACTCACCAACAAGTGACCTCTCATAACCATCAGGGTTCATGCTCGGCATCAAGTGTATCCTGGTCGTGTTCAGTAGACGCTGCACCCTCTCGTCTCCGGCCACGTACTGCTGGCAGAGGTACTTGGCCAACAGCAACAGTAGCTCACGGCCCACCACCTCGTTACCATGCATGTTGGCCACATATTTAAACTCCGGTTTGCCTGTGATTGCAAATGTTTGGTTTAAAGTTTTTCGTTTGTTGTTTATATTGTATTTTTTACATTGCACTGAATAAAATATTTTTCTTTCTTTCTTCTTTCTAAAGTTATTTATTTGTTTACTAGCTGTGCCCCCGGTTTCACCCGCGTGAAATGTATAGCCTATGTGTCATTCTGATATATAATGTTAGACATAGACACCTACATAATTACACAGCGTAAATAAGCAGGATTTTAAGTAGTCTAATATCTCAACTGTCAAATATTCATAATACTTATAAGTACAGCTTAGTTTTTTAATTAATTAATAACTTAATTAAAATTAAAATTGTAAGTGAATTTGTTTAAATTCTTAAATTTATATTTTTTTAAGTAAAAAATTGTGTGAATACGAATTACCACGTAAATAGCATAAAATCATCAAATGGCATAAGAGTTAAATTATAAACAGTTTGTTGAGTAAAAATATAAATAAGTTATAAAGATCAGAGCAGACCGGCAAAAAACTCTGAAGACGAATCTCAATGTAAACTTTAATACAATCCACTTTGGACTATTCTCAAAAATGTAATCCAGACTAAACTGAAAAACAATAAAGGTAAAAACATACATACCCGGTATATGTTTCCCTGGATTCCTGGTCACTTCCAGAACGTACAGTTCCCGACCTTCCACGGACTGTCCGATGCTGGTCAAGTTGGTGATATCAGGGTACTTCTCGCTTAGATCCCGGAGATAGGCCTCCATCTTCAGATAGTTGTGGTGTACAAAATCCGGCTCTGAAATGCCGTCGATGTCACGCTGCGTCCTCTTATGCTCTAAAGATTATCCCGAGATAAGACCAGATGATCGTGTGTAGTGTTCAGATAGAAATGTGTATTTAATCAAAAATTCTGTTGGAGTACGGTCACTCATTAGACAAAATTACAATAGCATATGCTGGTGGATACTCTATACTACGGCTACTGATTAGACTATTTCCTTTTGACAACATTGCAATAGTATATGCTGGTGGATACTGATAATCAGACTATTTATTTTTGATGAAATTGCAATAGCATATGCTGCTAGTTACTCTATTCTTTCTAATTTGAATTTATTCCTAATCTAAATTTCATTTGAAAAATATAACAGCTGAGTTTCCTGTCAGTTCTTAGTTCGAAAGCACTCCGAAAAGAGAGAGAAAATCTGTAATAGACCTGTTATTCGCGTATCATCTGCTTCTTCCTTATCCCATTTATTTGGGGTCGGCGTAATATGTTTTTCGCTTCCATTCATCCCTGTTCGCAGTCATCGCGTTATTTACTTCTTTTCTTACCATATCATCTTTCACACAGTCCATCCATCTCTTTTTCGGCCTTCCTCTGCCATTATAACCATCCACATTCATATGTAACACCTTTCTTAAATTATTATCCTCGTTCCTACGCATTACATGTGTAATAAAGATATTTTGATTTGATTTGATTGATAAACAACGCCATCTATTATCAACTTATTATAAACGTATTCAATGTCAAAAACGTTTAATTTTCAAATTTATTGATAAAAATAAATTCAGGCAATAATTTAATTGTATTCTATTAGCTATCCGTCGCGGTCTCAATCGAATCTTTGATTTTCTCGGCTTATTTTATAATATAACACGCATGTAAATATAAACGTTTGTCCTGAATCACTTATACATATATTGCTTCAATTTTCATTAAAATCTGTTTCGTAATTTAGAAGATGTAAGCGAATAGACAGTGGCAGCTGTTATATTTTTAGTTATGATTTGAAATGTCCTTTTAGTCTTTTGTCCGAATATCAAATTATTTGTAGTATCAAAAAAATATCATTTAGACAAATATCTCAATAATAATTATATCATTTCTTGCAAACGATATAGGAAGATATATATTATACAAAAAATATACTTTTTGTACAATATAAATTATTGATAAAGAAATCGGTTTTAAATTAGTTTTAAACAATATGAACCGTTGTAATCACAACATGCTATTATATGTACCATAGAATTATAACATTACACATGCTGTGTGTTTTTTGTTTCACAATGTGTCCATTACCACCTGTGTCACCTTATAAAATATAGAACACAGTAATTTTTAGAATTATACTGGTAGATGTTGTTTTGTTCTAAAAACGTACTTCAAACAAAATAATTGTTACCTAACGCCAATTATAAACATGCAATTACAAAATTAATAACTGTAAATTGAATAGTGTTGATTATATTTATTAGTGGAATATACAAGTGTGTTTTTATTTACATTTTTTAATTTGTGCATGTTAATTCTCATAGACAATATAAGATTATACCTAACCTTGTTTAGTAATTTTTTTGGATGATTACTTTTGGTCTGTGATTCTAGACTATATACAGTTTTAATAATGATGGAAGAAAAGAAAAAAAAGAGAAAGTAACAGGGATAATCATTACAGCATAATGGAGAAGAAATTATAAATAAAATAAACTTATACCAACATAATAAATAAAAAAAACCAAACCAAAAACAACCCAAACACCAAAAAAATGAAGGATATATCTACGAAGTACTTATTAAAAAATAGATTAAATAATAAATAAAGAAATTGCATTAAATTAATGAAACGTTATTGAAATCAATCGTAAATATACCTTAAACAATAATAAATAGAGGTGTTAATTGAAACAACTCAACCAAGTTAGTACATGAATAAGACCTTTATTCCCATTATAATCATTTCTATACATACCATCACCATTATTGAGTATAAATTTATATACAAACTGGATTAGAAAAAAAAATAGCACCACCTCCACATAGGCGTGTATATCGCGACTACATTACACTCAATTTCCAATCGTATAACATGTTTATTAAAACATATAATCGTCTTGTATACTATAATATACGTAGCTCATGGAGGTGGCATATTATTAAGTATATAGCAGCATACAAGTACATTGGGACTACATACATCCAATCGTATTATGTGTAAAAATGTACTTGTATGGTCCTACAACCAGATCAAGCAATGAAATTTGGCGCAAACGATCGTCATATTAAATTTACAATATAATGTCATTCGTTCTTTCCATTCATACATTCTATTAACCATAGTACAGTCAATAAAGAATTTATTGAGCACATTGGCTGCCTTTACTCGTACGCTCTATCACGAATAGGCTTTTACACAATAATAAATATGCATGTAAACGTACACACAGAGAACGAGGAAGATTCCTTCGATCGTGCGTGCTTTAGCGCCTTTTTAAATAAAATATTTGTCACTGCAAAATGACATGGCATAAATCTGACTATAGAACAAAAACTTAATTATTACTTATTCATAATTTATGAATCTTAAACGTGTCTCAGGAAAATAAAGTATGTGAATAAAAAAAAAATAGAAGAAAGTGAAATGACAGAGATAAACGCGCTAAATCGCATGCGTTCCGAGCGTAAAAGAACGTGTCGTGTAATGGCAGCCATCGAAACATGTTTCATCAAGTTAATCAATAATTTACAATTAAGATATGACTGTACTCTTTAATTACTTAAAATTATTATTGCCATTATTATTAAACATGAATAATTAATAAATAATAAAACGAACAATTGTCTATTAATATCTGGAGCAATAAAAAAGTATCACATAAGAACTATAGTCGAAAAGAATAGAATAATTCTAATGTATAAAAATATAGCCATTTCACTGAATTATAAATAATATTTTGTTGCAGTTAACACGATTTGTTTATAGTTTTGACTTTTTCAAAACTCCATGTAAGCTCAGTCCCACAAAAATATATTATTTAAATCCTTTTTGAACATGCTTAACTTTTTTTTATATACTTAAAATTAAGTTACATAATAACACCTCTTATAGCGGAGCGATATAGTATAATAGATATTTATTTAACATTTCTAATTATATATCAATATTGTACTGAATTTATGACAATAATTAGGCCCGCATAAATAGACTTATGACCGATATATTATATGTAACTATATATCATATAATGCATTTATATGCCTATTCACTATTGAGACGGTATTCCTATGTAAATATCAAATATAGGAAGAAATTTACTAAAATTTATAATGATCAAAGAACAATAATTTAATGTTAAAATAGTTACTATATTTGGCACAAATAATAATAAATATCCTCACGTATTAATCCCTGATAGGGAGTTGTTAGAGGTATTGTCCACTGTTGACAATATAGTGAACTCTAACGCAACACTTAATATACTCACATTTATATGAGTATATATTTGAATACAATAAAAGAACGTCAGTTTCTAGTCAGTTCTTCTAATCTCGATATCATTCCGAACTGACGGTAGATTTGACATATCATAAGAGTTATAGACTCTTATGATATGTCAAATCTAGAGCCTACCTAGTAGACCTACATGAATAAAGATACTTTGAATTATACATTTTGAAAACAATTTGAAAAAGAAATCCGTGTCACATAATTTATGGATGGACCATCTATTATTAAAACTTTTACAATATCGTATAGATTTTGAATTATTATTTAGTAAAATACGAAGCTCTGCACAAACAAGAGCTAATCCTAAATCATAATTTGTCTTTCAAATTGGTAAACTTAAAATTGCATTTTTAAATGTACACTTTAGAGAGCTGCCCAAGAGCCACTCCTAAGTCATAATTTGTCTTACCAAATTAGTAAAACTTAAGAGTTGCACTGAAATGTGCATTTCAGACTAAAACAAGTTATAAATAATAATTATGGGGGAAAGGTATTGCTAGTAACAGGGACTAGTAGTCACATTATTAATAATATAACATGTTAGATCAATCACCTAACAATATATTGTTAATAATAATAAAAAGTATCGATTATGTAAAAACGATTACAAACTTCAATGTAATACATATACGACATATGAAGTACCCGCAATTCTATTAAAAATCACAAATAACAGTCACTTTACAGTTAGTGATATATATCACAAAAAAAATGTCAATCCACTTTTCAAAGTCGTATAAAATTGATATAGCTACTACTATCGGAATAGTTTCCCGTTTGTGCAGGCGCTTGGAATTTGCAACCTTATATATATAAACACAAGATACAAATACCAATTAAGCTTTCAAGATGCAAACCAGTAGCAAGTTAGCCAGTAATAGTCATAAATGTGTGAGTGGTGCGGCGGAGTTGCCACCGTATCGCAACTTACCCTCTATGCTGCGTGGTTGCCGTCGCAGTGTGAAGTTGGTGGTCACAGTTTCTGTTTGGTTCACGGGGACGGTAACGGTGACTGACGGTGCGGACGTGTAACTGTAATTTTAAGTTTTTTTATTTACATTCTACATTTTTTGCCGTACGTTTATAATTAAAAGATTTTTTAATTACATTGGACCCCGCACTAAGCTAATCTGAATTGCGGAAGTTCGCATGATATTATTAATTTATTACATGATCAGTCAGATCAGTGAGTAAAGTAGATTTGACGTATCATAAGAGTCTGCAATAGAGTCACATGAAGAAAGATATTTTAATTTGATAAGTTAAAATATGTCCATAGTTCATAAGATTCACACAAACGTTTTGCATCGAAAAAAATGTTTCACGTGTTTTGTGCTAATGTGTGTATATGTAATGAACAGGATAATTCCTATTATAATTAAAGCGAAGTGATGTACTATCGAAGGGCACACCTATATGTGTGTTTATGTCGAAAATTCTGAAATTGGTAAATCTATGCACGGGGCATAGATCGTAGGAAATAGCAAAAGCTCCATCCACAAAAACGTGGTTAAATTATTAATGAATGAAACCAGTGCGAAGACGTGACGGGCCGATAGTTGTTTTAAATTTATAATATTCTTTTTTTTTATTACATTTGTTCAGATACATACCCTTGAGCTGCAGCCGTGATGGTATACTCTCCGGGAGCTACTAGCCTCCAGTATTCGCCAAGTTTCGTCGTCTTCACTGTATGATCTATCCCTTCTACAGATATCTTAGCTTCCTAAAACATATTATAACCAATTTGGTTACTTCTCACAACCATTGAAACTGTTAAATAATCCTGATATTTCATTATTATTTAAAATTAAATTTCACTAAAATGTCGTTCATTTTCACCCAAAAATTACTTAATAGATTTTAAAGAAACTTTACAACAATATAGCCGTCAAAATCGCGGGCACACCTAGTTATGTATAATTCTTGTAATACAAGAATTTACTTGCTGAATAAAGAGTCCATAAATAAAATAAAATCAATCTAATCTTAAGAGATATAAGTCTCAGAATAAGTTTTCAAAAATAATACACATGTTACGTTTTTCTTTCGAGACTACCAACCTTAATAGGTTCTCCGTCTTCATCGACCACGAACCCCTTAACTCCGATGTGGGTCTGCTCGATGTAGGCCAGCAGTGGTTCCTTATTCATAGCCCACAGGCCGGGCAACTTCTCAGGGCCAGGGTACTTGCAGCAGGACAGTTCGAAGGTCACCTCGAAGCAGTTTGAGTGGATATAGTTGAAGTCTTGCATGCCACCTGAAAGTAAAAAAAATATATTTGAGTAAGTTCTCTTTACTCACTTTTGGCCGACACACTTCAACAGTAAGCTGTCACAGCATATGCTGAGTGTGGGCCATAGTATACCTAATTAGTATGTTAATCATTCGACAGTGTTTCAAGCGCCATGAACATGGATGGGTAAATTGAAGATCAGCGGATGGTAAAATCTTTTACGGGCAGACATATGTGTCTATCTTCACCCGTCTTTGTTTATTGCTACTATTCAAACTAGCTTTATACTCATCTCGGCAAACTATACTCACAGTAACTTCACGTACACTTTCTGATCGCGTATTTTATTTAAATAAACCAATCACTGGATTCAATTAGAAAGGCTATAACTGATTTCCTGAGTGTAATTTTTATATTTCTGTATATTGATTGAACTATACTAACCAAATGTTTTAATATTAGAACGACATTAAATCCCAAGAATGGTCAAGAGGCCAGAAATGATAAAAATAAGATAATGGAAAAGCTCACTCGCAGGCGAGAGCACTATTCCATTATCAACCCATGCAGACGACTGTTTACAGTCTACCTCGAGTAATTAAGTACTTACTACTAGTCACCATACCTTTGACTCCATACCAGTAAGCGCCATTGACAAGTCCATCAGTAAAGTTGTCGGGTGGGCAGGCATTGCCTCGTCTCATGTCCGCGTGTCTGGACGCAAACGAGTTGGCCAGCTGTTTAAACACCTTATTGTCAGGCGATATACTTTCTTCACAGCATTCGGCGCCGGTCCTGCAATCACGGGCATTTATAACTTGACTCATGGATACATAACAAATCTTTTGAATTTCACCGCTTAGCCACTAAGCCGAGAAAATCAAAGATTTGTTATGATGATGATACTGGTACGTCCTGGCCGTACCGGCCATGACGACCGCTTCAAGGACTCCCTCGTCTTTTATGTGCCCTTATGTGAGTAACATAGCCTAGCTTATTTATAAATGTTCGCGCATATTTTGGGCATGTCAGGATATTATTATTATAAATGTCATTTTATAGCATCACGTCTCGCGTCTAGCTGACGATAACAATGAGACACATAATTTTGTACTCTAGTTTTGACTAGAGCTCTCCAGTCAGTCTGATGAGTCCCAAGCATGTGTTATACATGAAAACCTTATTGTTGAATCACTCTATCTATTGCTGAAAACTGCATTAAAATCGGTTGCGTAATTTAAAAGATATAAGCGAATAGACTGCAACGGAGACTTTGTCTAATACTATGTAAAGATTGACAGTTGAAAGGAATGGGATTATTAGTATTGTGGACTAACGAACTCATTGTTAGCAATCTACCATGACAACTTGACACACATATCTTGATAATTTCCTAGTGAATTGGTCTAACTGACCTGACTTCATGCTCATTTTATCATCATCCACTGATGCACCGCCAGCTTTAACCATTAAACGGATGTATCATTTCATTTTCATCCATAAAAAAATATTAATACAGATTAATAATAATTAATATTATTATTTAATAATACATACACTGAATCGTCATACGGGTAAGAAGCTACGAGAGCGCCCCCGTGTAAGTTTCCAGACAACACGAACTGTTTGCCCAGAACCCATTTGATGAGGGCCCGCGTCTCCGGCTGTCTGTCCTTGTACAGATACTCCTCAGTGTTCGACTGATGCTTGTCGAATTGGTCCGGGAAGTCGCGGTTCAAATCCACGCCTGCTTCGTTGTTGCGACCGACATATTTTGATTGTGATTCACAGCCGACCTGAAACAGAGTTTTTGTTTACTACGATGATGGTAGCCAAGCATAGGATACATCAGATGGTAATGGCTGCGAAATTAAACAAATACCAATATCAGTGATCTTGGCGGTTGAAAGACAGCCGAAATATCGTGAACTCAATAAAAAAATAAATAAAACGTGGTAAGATCCCGTGATTTTTCCTTATAATACGTAAATAATAACCTCGTCAAATTTAAAACCGTATATTAAACAATGAATTGGACTTCCGCAAAATTTAAGAATATTATTTGTTTGCGTAGTAATTGCAAGTGTCCACCTCTTTTCTATACCCAGAATTACCTTGAAAAAAAAAAATGAATTTGACCCTTAAAAAAGCCTCAACGGCGACCTAATATAGGGTATATAAGTATAAACTTTTCAAAATAACATATAATTCGATAAAAGCATTGCCTAGTCATTGCATTTTGTCCATCTCTTTTCTTTACCCTTCGAAAAAAAAATTAGGACCCTCCAAAACAGCCTCAACAGCGACCTAGTATATAAACAATTCTTTTATGTACACTTAGAATAACCGATTATTTTCGGACTACTCTATAAACTCGTTAATTTCTTTACACGCTAAGAATATTAATGTTCTTAGGTATTTTTAAACTTTCGTGTTCAATATACATTATTTATATTATTAACCGGGTCCTAACCCGACTAATTTTATGGCAAATAAAGGTATTTACCTCTCTCGATGTTTCGACTAGGTTGCATTAGCACTAACGTCGAGAGAGGTTTACCTTTATTTATCATAAAATTATTCGTGTTAAGACCCGGTTAATAATATAAATAATTAATGTTCTTAGTAACATACGTGATTAATATAAATATATATAACTCAAAGGTGACTGACATAGTGATCTATCAACGCACAGCCACTTGACGGATCGGGCTGAAATTTGGCATGCAGGTAGATGTTATGACGTAGGCATCCGCTAAGAAAGGATTTTGATTAATTCTACCCCCAAGGGTATAAAATAGGGGATGAAAGTTTGTATGAAAGTTTGTCAATTTTAAACCGATCGGGCTGAGACTTTGCATGCATAAAGCTACTATGACGGAGGCATCCTCTAAGAAAGGATTTTGATAAATTCCACCCCTAAAGAGATAAATTAACGCGAGCGAAGCCGCGGGCAAAAGCTAGTAATTAATTAAATTGACAATAAACGAAGCGAAGACAATCAACAAGATAAGATTCTCGTTAAAAAGTGGATTATTGATAATGGAAATGTACATACATATGTTTTTATTCATGATAAAGTTTCATTGGATAAGTTTGAGTGTATGTATTAAGGGACAAACGAGTGCGGCTCACCTGATGTTAAGTGATTACCGCCGCCTATGAGCCCAACCCAAAACACCTCTTTTCTTTAAGGTTTCAATATCGTATCGGTTAGAAAATACCATTGCTGGAAGGCAATTCCACAAAGTGGTTTCCACAAATATATTTAGCTAGAATATTTTATGTCGTTCTAATTAGGTGAGACTGAGGTACCCACGTACCCACGACACGGGTATCATGGGTCTTCCACAGTGCGGATTTCTAGAAATTTTTTGCCTCGCACAACCACATTGTGGAATCACCTTCCAGCAACGGTATTTCCGAACCGATACGATATAGAAACCTTCAAGAAAAGAGCTTATTCCTTTTTAAAAAGCCGACAACGTACTTGCAATTCCCCTGGTGTTGCTGGCGCTCATGGGCGGCGGTAATCACTTACCATCAGATGAGCCGCTTGCTCGTTTGTCCCCTGTGTTATATAAAAAAAAACGTACACTTTTTGCAATATCTACCTTTTTGATGAGATTGAAATGACATAAAAATAAGGTGGCTCTCTAAACGAAGTCGTCAAAGTAGCAATATTTTGACGACTTCGGGATCTGCTCGCGGGTTTGATTCCTCGCACGTGCATAATTTATATGATTGAGAATGATTGTATGTACCTACCGGTCCGATATTTTCTATGTATATTGTATGTCTTTACAAATGAAATGTATGTATTTATGTCAGTTGCCTATACCCATAACACAAGCTCTAGACTAGACTAGATGAACGAATTGTTCAGAGCTATTATTAATATCTACATACATTTCCTGCCGATGTTTTCTCACAAGGTTTTTCAAGTATTCATATTAAAGAATCTTAAGGGTCGGCAACGCGCACGTGACACCCCTGGTGTCACAGGCGTCCATAGGCTACAGTAACCATTTACCATCAGATGGGCATTATGCTTGTTTGCCACCATCGTAGTATAAAAAAAAGAACTGCGGCTTCTAGTCCGTGTAGGTAAATTTCCTGAGTTGGAGGACTATTGAGGTCAGCGGTCGAGAGCGATAAACTTGTGCAGATACATACAGACACGTTATCACTTAGAGACGAGGGCATTTATATATATATATATATATAATGTATTTATTTATAAAATTTGCATTCGAGTCTGTAACAATAACCAATGCTGAGTGCATTGGTTATTATTACAGATATTATTCATAATTAATTAATAACACAAGAATATTATTCACCTATACTAGTGTAAGAAATGATATGTCTAAATATTATCTTTATGACATTAAACAGGAAACTATACAAGTATTGAACTGATAATACAGCGCCATCTTACAATCAGTTAAATTAGACACATTGGTGAATAATTTTATAACTTACTAGCTAGTCGCCTTGACTTCGCCCGGGTATACATGTATTATACATATATACCTTCCTCTTGAATCACTCTATCTATTAAAAAAACCTGCTTCAAAATCCGTTGCGTAGTTTTAAAGATTTAAGAATACATAGGGACGGACAGTCAGCGGCAGCGACTTTGTTTCATACTACGTAATTTTATTTTAAGTTATAAAAATGTAATAATATTACAAAGTACAACAAATAAATGCTAGTTAATTGTGTTATTTTTTAAAACTCTTTTAAGTAATATGTACATTCTATTATTTTATATAATTTAAGTGTAAGAAGGATAGATAGAGGAAGGGAATGAAACGACTACACTTCTTAAAAAGGAGTAATCGGTTCAGAAAATAGTTAGTTACGCGCTGGAGTTGAAACAAAAAGGAACTTTGAATAAACGGCTAGCATATAGTTCGACTGTTTTTTTTATTATTGCCACCTGATTTATTATTATCTTATACTATACTAACTGACCAGTACCCACTTCATTGGGCGGTAAACATTTTTAAGGCGGTAATTGTAGACAATTATCGATCTTGAAAAATATGGTTTGACTAGCTGTGCCCGAGATTTCACCTGCCTATTTTATTTATGCGATGTGGTGTAACAGGTAACGAGTGGCCGTCATCGCTTTAAAATTAAAGGGCTGGCGAAACAGGGCAGCTAGTGTTATGATAATGTGACACTTATAATCAGTTTTAAAACTTAATGGCTATAGATTAGATATGAATAATATGTATAATAATGCGTCATATCTAAGAGTTAATACTTAATAGCAAAGTTCAAAAGCTGCAGCTTCTAAACTATGAAAATTAATCACTTTCAATTAAAAAACATAACTGTAAAAGTGTCCTTTTATTCGTTATGTTTACAAAACTAAACTGCGGAACGGATCTTACAAATACTTTTATTTATATATTACATGATGGGACGGATGTAGTCATATATTTTATCTCATAAATTTTTTTGGAAAGGAGTGAAATAATGAGGGTTGAGAGTCATCCTATTTACCATTACAAATACACAAAATAAAATATATTGTATATAATTCTCGACTCAGGAAACGATCGAATCCGCGATTCAAACTGCATTTAGCAACTTACAAACATGGTGACCTTGATTACTATAGTAAGTTGAAACAAAGAACCGCGAATGTTGGCAGTTGAGACCTACACTTAAACTTGTTACATTTAATGGAGCATACAAAAACTGGTAACCGTTTTAAGACTACTTTGGATTAATGCTTAATTATATAACAATTTCTTTTACTTATTTTATAACAATTTTTGCCGGGGACTTCTCTCGAGAGACTATATCTAGGGGTTTTTGTAGAAGGACATATTAAAGTTTCTAGATTCCCTAGAGATTACAAAACGGGGTTATTCAAGAAGGGTATATTAAGATAATTCTTAAGGGTCCCCTTATAATAAAATCAGGCAAATCATAGACATCAGGCAATAGAGCTCGGATATACGACTGCTGACTGCTTCCGGTAATCAGATTTCAGTACTGAATATTTGTGCTCTCACACATGTTAATGGTTCCGAAATTAACAAAATAATATAATAGTTAATTTTAAACTTTCGTGTTTAATATACATTATTTAAATTATAAACAATAATTTTATTAAAAGTAATAAAAGTCGTCGAGAGAGGTATATTTATATAAAATTATTCGTGTTAAGACCCGGTTAATAATTTAAATAAAATAATATAAATCCATTAAGTCTAAACAACTTCCTTTAATGTCAGTTGCATATTGATATAAAAGTGCCTGGATAACTTTTTAGTTACATAATACTTTATTATCCATTGTCCATACTATTGTTTATATTGTAGTAGCTCGTATGGGATGAAGAGAAACCGTAGTATAGCGCGTTGTAACTCATGTGTGCAAATATCAACCTTAAGTTAATTCCAAATCAAATTTTGGATCTTAATTAATATTACAAATTTCAATTCCTTTTTATATTTAGACTACTTTCTCACAGGATCAGCACTGTACCGAATTTGTATGTAATACTGACTATAAATATGCCTTAAAGTATTTGATTTAAGGCCAAATTTACGCTTAAATTATAAGATGAGATAAGATACTCAAATACTGCTAAGAAGTGGCTATACATGACGCAATGCACGGATATGACAGTTTATGCAGTTATGTATAGAATTTTGTGTCATACTCTCTTATTACATCAGAAGGTCCGTCGGTACATACCCTTGTATAACAATAGATAAGTAAGTATAAACATCTAATTGTACCCGTGACTTCGTCCGGGAAGAAACTCTTG